CCTGGAGAAAGAGAAGCAGTTACTGTTTAAAACTTATAAAGTTTTGTTGAGGAGGATGAAAAAAGTATAGATCATGGTGATGGTTAAATGATGAACTGATGTTGTACACTTATAAAATGGCTATAATAATAAATACGTATACTTTAGCACAATAAACAAACAACACAGCCTGTAACATCAGTGGTTTCAAGTTTACAATATTTTTCTAGAGAATAAATTATTTCAAAACTGGCTTACTCAGTTCAGAATAGCCTTAATACAAATGAAGCAAACATAAGTTAACTGGATCCTTACAAAAAATCTATTTCCCATTCTTTCAATCTCCTTAATTTCCCCACCCAGATATATGTACATAGTTCAAACCAGGAAGATGCTTTGGGAGGAATGCTTCTAAGGTCTATTATTGTGGTGAATACATATAATCCAATGCTGACAGTTATCTTGACATATACTGATCCATTTTGTTAGTTTATATCTAGATGTCTCCCAAGAGCCTCATACACTCCTAGGTGGGGCTTTTGGAAGGTGACTGTTGGATCATACTGCGTTTTGGCTGACTTGCTGTTAGGAGCTGGGGTTCAGAAGAGGCAAGTCACTGAGGAGTGACCTGGAAGGGTCCATCTCCCTTCCCTTCACCCTGTCTGCTTCCTATCTACCATGCAGTGAACAGCTTTCCTCTGCCATGTCCCTCTGCCAGGAAGCCAGACAACTAGTCTAAAACATGAGCCAAAATAAACTTCTCTTTCCTTAAATTGTGATGTTGGTATTTTGTCCCATGAATGAGGAGAGTAAGACACATCTCAGGAGTTAATAAAAATAGGCTTTCCAGCAGAACTGCCTGGGTTGGAATCCTGGTTTTGCTATTTTCTAGCTATTAATTAAATTCGATAAGCCCTAGTTTGCTCACCTGTAAAATCAGAACGTCTACTTCAGATGTTGTTCTAGAATCAAATGAGTTAATACCAGAGATGTGTTTGGAACAATGTGTTCAAAAGTGAGCATTCGCTATTAAGTATTAACTATTACTACTCAGAAAAAGTAAACTAATATATTCCTGAAAAAAAAGAGATACAAGTTTTTGTGTGTTTTTTTTCTGGTTCACTAGAAAAATGAAAATAACCAATTTTTTTTTAATTACAGAACATCATGATTAACCATTATTTGTTTTCAAGCTCCTGTTGGTATGGCTACAAGGAACATTAAACACTTCTGCACTTCCAGATGTCTCTTGAACCTCTGCTATACTCTAATACAAAACTTCCCCTTTCTTCATATAAATCTCTTATGGCCAGAAATCCTTTGACCCCTGTGTGTTACTGAGAAGGTTCCATACTTGTTTGTAGTTGTGGGTTTGGAGGAAGAGAAGGCAATATATCTTTCCTGTCAACTATGTGACAGTAAAAGCCTTGGTGACAGTTGTCTCTATCACCTCATAATTATTAAGAACTATTTCCTTGGGCCGGGGATTTAGCTCAGTGGTTCTGCCGCCTGCCTCACAAGCGCAAGGACCCGAGTGCAATTCCTGGTACCCAAAAAAAAAGAACTATTTTCTTCATGTCTACAAACCTCCATGCATGCACAGTAGACCACAAATGAGGGCACATCCAAGAATGAATAATAATAATTATGCTGGGATGAAGGTGTAAGGTAGTTCTCTTCCAGGGAAACCTGGACATAGAGTCAGCCACCATGTTTATTTAAAAAAACAAACAAACAAAAAACTGGCAGCATCCAGATCTAATGTTAACAAATATAACACTGAATACATTTAAACCAATTCTCAAAAGATTTTTTTCTTTTCAATACTAATAAGGAAAGCAAAAACAAAAACAAAACAACAACAAACAAAACACCTCAAGATTTCTCTAAGACCCTAAGAAAAATTGGAGTACCTTTTAAGGCAAATATGTAAAAAGGGACTCCCTGGTCACAGCTTTGACTGCTGCTTGTCATTCGTGAGGTGATTTAAATTAGACTATAGAACATGGCAGAATCAGTGGTTCTGTGGCAAATGGCTACAGAAAATATAGCTTTGAGGATCAGTGTCTACAGTCAGCAGCAGCCATATTGCTGATTAGTCAGTGTAAATTATGATTGACTGTAACAATTGTCAATGTGAAAACTCAGGTCTAGTGTTACAGAAGCATATATGTTAACTCAATTAGCTAACACACTTAGTGCCAAGTGTACAAAAGACAATAGGACTAGCATTGCAGGAAAACACACATGAAAATACACACCCTATACTCTCTCTAACAGCTCCCATTCTGATAAAAATAAGTAATTTGGATAGTCTCAACTAACAAATATTTGGTTTTAATATGAACTGATATGCCTCCCACCCCCAGTAAACATGTCATGCACGGTAAGTTACTATTTAAATCAGGATTAATTTCACTTTAATCTGTATTCCTTAAATCCTGACAGGATAGCAGGGAAACAATAATCCAAGAATGAGTATCAAAGGAAATGTGAATGTGAACCATGGACCTGAGAATTAATATTAGGTAGATAAACAGACCAAGCAATAGAAAAATAATTAGTGGTACTCTACAGTATAATGTCATCCATAAACCTAAACATTATCTGAAGATTTGTTATTCTTATAAACAGGTTACATGGCAAAGAAATGAAATAACTTTATCATTTTTATAAAAAGTAAACTTCCAGATGATGCCATTGCTTATCAGCAATATCCTACAGACCTTCTGAATATTCCTATAACAACTAAGTATTTATTTTTTCATAAACTCACACCACTTTTTTGCTTTAACAGATAGCTAGTACTGAACATATGAAAATGTTGGCAGAGGACATACTATATTAGCTAGTGTACATGAAAGTTCTTTCATTCTGTCATTTTTGACAATACTCATGAATTTGGAGGACATTATGCTAAGTGAAATAAGCCAAGCATAGGAAAACAAATACTGCATGATCTCACTTATATGTGAAATCTAAAAAAGTCAAATTCGTAGTAGACAGTAGCATGGAAGTTACGGCTGGGTGAGGGTAGAAAATGGAAGACATTGTCCAAGGGCTACAAAATTTCAGTTAGGAAAAAAATCATGTTCTAGACATCTATTTCACAGCATGGTGACTATAGTTAATAACTATGTTTTAAAATTGTTAAAAGAATGCATTTTAAATATTATAGTGACATGTATGTTAGTTTAAAATCTATTAGACAAGATAAATATAGATCAAAACATCATATAGTACCCATGAACACATAAAATTATTTGTCAATTAAGAGATTTTAAAATTTTCAAAGAAGAAGCTGGGCATGGTGCCATGTGCCTATAATCCCAGCAATGTGAGAGGCTGACACAGGAAGACTGCAAGTTCAATCCTACCCTGGGCAACTTAATGACTAGCAATACTATGTTTCAAAACAAAAAATAAGAAAATAAAGAGGGCCAGGGATATAGCCTCGTTTAAGATCCTGGGTTCAATCCCAATATAGCAATAATCAATCAATCAGTAAGATTTTATAAAAGAGAAAATTTTCAAATTGCCTTTACTACCTAGGAAAGTTTAAATAGGATTTTCAAGCAATTGAGCATAGGATTATTATCCCAAACATTAATCATTTTTACTCTTTTTAAAAAAGGTTCAAAAGTTAATTATTCTACATTTTATCTAATTCGTTTTTTTCGGAGGACAGTGGATTCATTTATGAATCACATTAAGTCTTCATTATGAATCACATAATCTCTTTTCATTGGTTAATTCTCAGCAAAGATTCAAAAATCACAGACCAATCCCAACAGATGGCTTGCTGAATTTAATTGGTGGAATAAGAGTATCACTGAACTTAAGAAATCACGTCGTCTGGCATAAGCACATCTAACCCGTTCTAATCTCTTCCTCTATTTTGAGACAACAGATTGTCTAAAGCTGGAAATCAGTTTTTGCAACATTTTTCTCATCTTTCTCAAGAGTTGAGATGACAGTGGGATGAAATCAAATGTGATTAGGATGAAGGGCAAAGGTAGTAGCTGATATTTAGAGACATTTATTTGACTCAGATCACAATGGTTTCTTAAAGCAAAATAGTTCTCTTACAAAAGTAAAGCAAGTGATAGAACATGGCTCTCTAATATGAATTGATTTTATTTATAGAAAGCAAATCCTAATATATGTCTCTGCAATTCTCATCAGAAAAAAAAAACAGCTAGTTTTTATTATTTACTGCTGGCATTCTCCCAAGGAAGATAATCTTAATCTTGTTAGGTTCATAAAAAGTTAATTAAGGGCAATACTGTAAATATTAAAAATTTACTGGGAAAAAAGAAAGTGAACTGGATAAAATATTAAAAGCATAAATAAAAATAAAATTGGGGGATTATTTGTAATTTCTTTCTCTATTACCACTGACCTGGTTTTTAATAATCAAAAGTAGCTGAAGATATTTTAAAAATTTGCTACATTGTTTAAAATTAAGCAAATGTGGGCCGGGGATTTAGCTCAGTGGTTTCACCACCTGCTGCACAAGCACAAGGACCTGAGTTCGATCCCTGTCCCCCCCCCCCCAAAAAAATTAAGCAAATGCCAGGCACCTAGTGCCCAGCAACAATCACTCAAAAGGAAACCAAACTGAAATTTTAATTTCTATCTCTTTATAGGATATACGTTTTTGGACCTAATCTACTGCTAAAAGTATCTTTAAGTTTTTTTTCAAAACAAGTTAACATATGGTTTACAATTCAGTAGGGATTTATATACATACTATTAGTAGCAGCTTTAGTTCAGGGATCATGATCATATCTACAGGACAACTTTCCTATCTATATTGTTCTCTATTTTAGAACTGTCTTTGCTATGCTGAAATAAAAAGATACATATATCTGTTCCAGTGTAAATCTGTTGCAGATAAAATATCTATTACTTTTAATGCAATAAACCAAGATAATTTTAAACATATATTTTCACTGAAACGCAAAATAAGAAACTCGCACAGGTTCTCTTTCCAAATCAAACGCCTTTTTACTATTTACCTGGTGGTGGAATCAGAGGTGGAGCAGTACTAACAGTTGGAGGAGGTGGGAGAAACGGAGGTGGCGGAAGGTGGGTGGGAGGAGCTCCTGGAGGGAAAAATGGAGGTGGTTTGCTAAAATTGTTGTCTACTTCAGTAGCAGATCGTTCAGAAAGGACCTAAAATTAGAGGACAGGTCATCAGAGAGATGTGTTTTCTAAGGTTAATCTTATAAATTAATTTCACTCAATGTAAGAAACTAAAAGGCAGTGTAGTTTGCATACATACGTACTTGGGGAGGTAATACTATGAGCTTATATATACACACTAGTATCATACACTCTCAAATACATGCTTTTAAAAATGTTCATATTTAAAGCCTGGTTTAAAAACTGATACCAAGAAAACTTTTTAATAAGTGATAAAAAAAATTCCACACAAGTACTTTATAAGTATAATGTAGCAACTGTAATACCTGTTACCACACAACAGTTAAATATTCAAGTTAAAGCAATATAATCATTTATCACAGATATTAGCCCTAAGAAATTAATGTGGCCACATGTCAGACACTCACTATAGGAAAGCCTGTCATCACCAGGTACAGAGAGACTGTAAAGCATGTATCTACAAGTAGGAAGTTAATAGGAAATTAATTAAGACGTGTAAATAACTTCTTCCTTTGAGCCATGTAACTTTAAGAACAAAGGTTCAGGGGCACTCTGGCACACACAAATAATCCCAGCACTCCAGAGGCTGAGGCAGGAGGATTGCAGTGAGTTTTAGGCCAGCCTGGACTACACAGTGAACTCAAGGAGAGCCTAAACTATATAGAGAGACCCTGTCTCAAAAAACCAAATATAACAACAACAACAAAAAAAGTTCAGACTTCAAAAATAAAACCAGTGTTTGCAAAAAATGCTGGTATGTGTGAACAGGTAAGCAATGGGTACCATCAGAAGCACCCTAAACCTACTTAAATACAATAGCAAACATAGTGGTACCTAGAGGACTTTAGACAAGTTGCCAGAGGGATTCTGATGGGCAAATAGGTTTCGGAAATAGCAAAACAGCCAACATAATGCTATATATTTAATTTATATTTCTTGAATTCTTGCTGACTAAAGCACATCACTTAGGTATGTGATCCTCATATTCAACTCTTCTTACATTTAAATACAGTAATTTTTATAAATTTATACTCATAACCTATTCTTAAATTAGGGAACAAAAATCTTTTAAGACATCATGGTATTGTAATAGTTCAGAAAAAGAAACAGAGGTCTATCTTCCATTTTGGAAATAATTATCTTTAAAGACACACACAAAAAAACATTTTACATAATTAATTTACTGAAGAACCAAAATACTTTGAGCATTTTTTAGGGTATTCAGAAAAAGGGAATAAATGACGAAGGATGGCTAAGCTGAATAGCTGGCAGTCTCTATTCTAAGAATTGTGCAATTTACTTATAACTCATTTCCTTTCACTCTTTCATCTTGAAAACAAAGGAATGCTCCTTTCCCTCAGAAATGTCACATTAAATAAATTATGGTAAATACAAGAAAACAATCATGAACAGATTTTAGATCATATTTTTAAGATAATATGGGAATGGGCCGGGGATTTAGCTCAGTGGTTTCGCCGCCTGCTGTGCCAGTGCAAGGACATGAGTTCAATCCCCAGTACCAAAAATAAATAAGTGAATAAAAAATAATATGGGAATACCATTTGCATGAAAAAGGATACACAAAAATATATTCAAAATAGCATCTCAATTTTGCTTAGTGTAAATGTTTCAAAAAGTTAAAGGAGGGCCGGGGATTTAGCTCAGTGGTTTCGCCACCTGCTATGCAAGCTCAAGGACCCGAGTTCGATCCCTGGTACCAAAAAAAAAAAAAAAAAAAGTTAAAGGAAGCATTTAGATGGAGATTTATTGATTCTTTTTTCCAATTTTTTTTCATCAATTAAACTACACATTAAGTTTATAACAAGTTAAAAGAAAAACCTAAGAAACATCCAGAAATCATAAATTCTAAATAAAAAAGCTTTCGCAAAAAATAGAGGTGATTGGCTATACATTTTAAATCTCTTTGTAGCACTAGAAACACGTAACACATAGAACAGTACTTTATTTATTAAGTAAATTACATTAGATGTAGATATAATCCCTCAGTTAAAAAACCTGATTTTAAAATACTAAACCTGTATGTTGCTGTTTTCATTTGCCCGTCGTCTTCCTTCTACTCGGCTAATAGTTATAGTTTGTCCAATGACATCAATTGCTCCAGGTAATCGCCTATAATATAAAAATTGAACCAATTCAGTTTTCATCTCATTAGATATTTGAAAAAGAATTAAAATTTTAAATGAGAAATAAAATCTAAAATTCTTTGCAACGTATTTTAAAATAAAACACAAAGAGTTTCACTGAATTAGATCTCACTCCTTTGCAATATGATTCAAAAAACTTCTATTAGTAAGGTAGAATCAACATATCTAGCAATGACTATAATAGTAAATTTGCAGTATTTGTATAGATTTTTGTCTAAGTTACTATTTTTAAACAGTTTCCAATTGAATTTATTTTCTTAGAACAGAATCAGATAGCAAATGCTAGACAAACTGAAAATAAAATTTGTTGGCAATTCATTACAATTGTAACAAATATAATTCTCATACAAAAATTTCAAGATCCTCTAAAAAGGCTTAAAAAATGCTCACTTTAACAGACACGGTATTTTCCTTAGTGATATATTACAAGCATTAGAAAACATAAAAAGAGAACCAGTTTTTCATTTCTGATAACTTGCCTTTAGATAGAAAAATTCAAATTAAAAAATATCTCCCATACATTTAGTCTGATTTACAATCCTTTTAAAGTTTAACTACATATATGAGGATATGGAAAAATAGTTTACCCACAAAACAATGTTGCAAACTTAACAGGAGAACCTAATAAGTTAAATTTTAAAAAATTAAAATAATGTTGCAAGATACAGTGGCGTTAAGGAAGGACACTGTAAAAGTTTATGTGCCTAACAAGATAGACAAGTCACTTTTAAGTGTGGCCAATGAAAAGTAGATGCAAAGTAGATATGTATCTCTTCATCTTTCAGTTATAGACAATTCCACCCTCAAAACTTTTTAGCAGTAAAATTATTAAAGATACATTACAGCCAGGTGGTGGCACATGCCTGTAATCCCAGCACTCAGGAGGCTGAGGCAGGAGAACTGCAGTGAGTTTCAGGTCAGCCTGGTCTACATAGTGAGTTCAAAGCCAACCTGAACTACATAGCAAAACCTTGTCTCAAAAAACAAAACAAAAACCAAAAACCACATTAGATCCTTCCATAGTTAGGAACTTTAAATGACTAATAACAAAAGCTACCATTTGCTGGATGCCTAACCTACACCTAAATCACAAAAATCCTCAACTTAAAAAATAATATTTACTGTTAGATATGATAAAGTTAAGATCCAGAGTCATCACTGACCTAAATAAAATGAAATGGCAAAACTGACTTTCAAAACTTAATTGTTCTGATTCGAAAGCCTCTAAGATTCCTTTCCTTTGAGAAATGCTTCCCTTCCAGCAAGATAATTCACCTTTGAGAAACTTAAAATGTTTCTGGAAATGAGTCTGTCAAAGTTTATCTGAAGTGAATCTTAAAATGCTTGACAAGTCATTTTACACTCATAAAGGTAGCCCTATTATAAGAAGTCTAAAACACTTGAAATGTCTTCAACTACAGTCAATATTCACAATCTCTTGCCAAGTTGACTTCGCTTCTCTGTATCTCTATTAAAATAAACAAATTTCATGTACTTCTAATGTTATGGCTGGATCACTGACTTCCTAGGTTCCCTTAGGATCCCAACCTATCTCTTCAAATATAACTGGGAAATATCCTAATACTGACACATAAAAACATCCAAATACTTCTAAGATAAAATAAGTTGTCCTCTAATTTCTACCCAAAAACTTAATTAAAAAGCTACGTCTACCACCACTTCATATTAAAGCACATGCCATCAGCCCTCTTAGATTTCAATGCCCTACCAGACACAGATGTGTATCGTGAAGCCAAGATTTCCCTCATTATTTACTGCTGCCTAGACCTCACTTTCAAAATCTCTACTTCTACTGTATTATTTTGTTTCCTACTTTCTTCTACTCCCATCTCAGGATCTGTCCCCTCTCCACTTATTTATTCCTATCAAGACCTAATTCTCCTAAATTTGTTTGATTTGCAATTTAGATTGAAAATTCTCCAAGTCATGAAAGTTTGTAAAAATTAAATCTAGACATAACACTGTAACGTCTATCTTTTACCACTGACCTGTAAGGACTTCTGGTTTTCAAAAATTGTGGGACATATGGAAGTATTTATCTCTTAAAGTTTATTTTAAATATGGTCAGATAAGTGTAGTTGGATTTTTTTTCAGCTTTAAATGATTGCTAAAAATCCAAAATGGCAAATGCCATGATTCTGTTATTGTCATGCTGCAGATAGAATCCAGGGCCTCGTGAACACTAGGAAAGTGCGACCACCAAGCTACATCCCCAGCCCCAAATACTATGTTCTAAAAACACACAACTGTAAAATCAGTGTATGTCCCTGGCTAGGGGAAAGTTGAGAAAACTGCAATTTCCTACATTTTCAGAAGATCTCTTCGCCTAGGCATTTTTACTATACAAACTGATTTATCTTAATCAAATGAAATTTACCATTTTGTTCAAAAATGTTTTACGACACGTACACAGTACATATACCAAAGCAGGCAAAAGCATATAATATTTAACATGAATAATTTAAACTTCCAAGGGTATTCTGATGCCACACTACGGAAAACAAGCTGTATTATTCCATGAAAGTTTTTGTCCTGTGTCCCATCCTGTGCCCTATCCTGTGTCATCACTCCTCCACACCCAGGATCCATCCCAGGCCCTCACACTAGCTAGACTACTACCCTACTACTGTGTTACACCCCCAGCCCTCCATGAAAGTTCTTGATAGACATCTTTTCATTTCATTGCATAAAAACATTTACTAAAGCTTCCCTTAAGGGTATTTGTAACTCAGAATTTCATATAGTACAGGTTTAACTGGACCTACAAACTTGTTCAGTAAGGTAGACACCTAATGCTGCAAACACCATTCTCTTTCTATACTGGACTCAACTATCTAGTAAAAAGCTGAGGAACAGAAACTAATCACATTGGATAACTGAGTTAATCCACAGTTTAAACAGGCAGTGAATGTTAACATGCGTTTTCAACTTTCCTCCTGGCAAAGGTGAACATAAAAAAAAAACCAACTCTGAAATTATAAAAGCATAAATTAAACTGATGATTAAACTGTATAAAAGCATAAATTAAACTGATGAGTTAAACTGATGATTCTGATGTTTCAGGAAGGGTTTGAGGGCTGCTTGCAGGTATGCAACAGAATTTTCAAATGACAATTCAGGATCAAGGGAAGACAGACAAAAACTTAGTTGCTAATCTGTCATAATTTTATCGCTGAGCTACTTGTTTTTAGCATTCAAAGCCAAAGGACATCATTAATAAAAAATCTTTAATGTATTTGCTCTAAAGATTATTTTGCCTGGAAATTATAGTATTTATTAAGCACTGACTATGCTAGGTAAACACTATTCTATAAGTGTTAACTCCTCATAACAACCCTATGTGGTGACAATTATTATTATTCCCACTTTACAGATGAGAATAAGGAAAAAAACTTTCCTCTTTGATCAGGAAATAAAGTGAATGTTTAAGTTGTTTTGAAAATGTATTATATAATAAAAGACACACTTCTAACACACTTGTCCCAACATTCTTGCCATTTTCTAAAGCAATTCTTCTACAAGTCCTTATCATGTCTTTAATTATATTATTATGGCTCCTCAATGACCTGAATCGATTTAAAACATTTATCTATCATTGTCATTTTTATTTGGGGGAAGAACCAGAAGTTGTACAGTACCAGATCTGGTGAGTAAGTTTGATGAGGACACACCATAGTATTTCTATGGACCTCCCTTTCCTTTGCTTGGCACTCAGCAGCAGACTTCACTGTATTTTTGATCATACCTCACAAAGACACTCAAGAAAGAGGACTGCCAGAACTGTTTTATAAAGTGACAAGAATGATAAGATAAGTGTGTCAGAAGAGCACACATGGTTGGGAGGATTGAGGGGGATTAATGGTAATACGACTTTTACTGTAATAAATTTTTTTACTTAAACACTTCATATTTTTAATCAGTTCTTGTACTATAAGAGAAAGTATGATGGAATATACTAGATTTCAACTTCATTCACACAAAACACACTAATATATTTTTCATAGCCATTCAGAACATACATATTAAAGAACTAAAAAGTTTCACAAAACAATGCTTACTAAAAGAGCAAAATATTAATATCAATATGACAATGAATGTTTAAATATAATAGTAAAAAAGCAAAAGAAACAATATAAAACCAAGAAACCTTGGTTGGAACCACCAACTCTCAAAACCCTTACTAATGGATTGCAACCTCACACTGAAAAAGCATTCACGAATAGTTTCCAATACCACTTCAATAAAAGCAAAAGTGAATTTCACAGAACTGGTTTGCAAATATCTCTCAACGCTGTGTGAAGCATAACAATGCATAAGTCAATAAAACCAATTTAACCAAGGGAAGCAAAATAATACGGTCTGACTACCTTCATTAATGTTAAGGCTTGACTTAAGGGTTTAATACATTTTGAGAACAAAACTTCTTTTTTTTAATGTTCTTTTTTTATTAGTACATGTTTGCAGTATGTGCATTTTACAATCACGTTGGGGAGTGGGTGCATGTACGTAATACATACTTTTTTTTTTAATCCCCTTACTCATCCCTCCCCAACTAGCACACATGGTTCTATAAGAAGGATCAAGAGGTCCCTGAACCTAAATACAAGGGACTACACTTTGCAACAATTTTTCAAAGGAGTTACTGCTTCAAAGAAAGTTCACAATCACTATTCTAGAAGAATGGATTAATGACATAGCCTTATAGAAATCCAGGAATGTTTTCCCACAGTAGAACTTCTAATAGGAACTGAGCAGTGGACAGTCCAAAGGTCTATATTCTAGGAAAAATGAGACTATGGATATTTCATGCAACCAAAACAGATAGATGTACTTGTCACTATGTCTAATTCAGGTCATATATTTAAATAGATGACTATAAACAGTCTGCATGGAAACCTCTTTTAAACTACAGTAAGGAAAGGTGAGCCACAAAAGACACAGGATGGATTTAGGATTTAGACACAGCAATGGGAATAAGGAACATTTTAGATGGAGAGAAAAGCACAAACCAAGAGAAAGGATGAAGGGGAAAATACTATGTGTAAGATTTCTACTGGGCAAATATATTATCTATCACTCTGCTTGCAATAGAAGCACAGTCCACCTTTCACAGTGAGTATTAACTAAAAGACTATCAAAGAGGCAGAAGAATAGAAAAAAAAAAACCACATAAAGGACTTTGTGAGGCTATAAGTGCTATGCAAATGTCAATTCTCATTATAACTGAATCTATTGTTTTTACTTCAAAATCCAAGGAGACCCAGCTAGCATTTGATTTTAATTTTTATGCCAGGACAGAATCAAGTCTCTAAATCAACAGTTGTCAATCTTGCCTATACATCAGAATTATCTGAGATTTTAAGAATCCTGATGTCCAGTGTGCATACTTAACTATTTAAAACAGTATCTCTTGGACCTCAGCATCAACACTTTTTGAAGTTTCCCAAGTAATTCAATATACAGCCGAAGTTGAAGACTACAACCCCTAAGGGTATGTGCAAGGAAGAGACTTACATTTGGCTCTCCTGTAGAAAGAACTTAAAAGGCTAGTAAAAATTAACTCTATTACATAACACAAACTCATGCCCATCAGAGTCCATTAGTTGAGGTTAGGATATGATTCAAGACATACGTTTATACTGATCTTTCATTTTCGTAAACTGACATAATATTATTTCTATACTAATATGCGAATTTTACTTTCACAAGCCCAAGAATAATTTTCTCTGTAGATGATGCATAATTTATAAAGAAAATTTAGTACGTTGAGGTTAACATTTATTAATATCAAATCCTACCTAGAAAAATAAAACATACATCTAAAATAAAAATCACAGAATTTAAAACTTTATCTTTAGGACATATAATTTATTTTGCCTTAGCACTTTAGAATTGATAAAGCCTGTGATGAAAGCAGAGAACCAAGTGGAGCTAACACCTCCTGGGTCCCTAACCTTATCATTTGATCCTTATAATAGGTCTTTTCACAATTTAGAAGTTATTTAATGTGTACAAGAATACTGCAAGTAAGATGTAAATCCACAAGGATTACTTTTTATAGTTGTACAAAGAGGCTCTCTCACATTGTGAAGTGGTCGCATCAGGATTTAGGCTCTGAATACTCAACTTCAAACTCAATATACCTTTCCCAAGTCAGTTTATTTTTCCTTCCACACAAATATTTACTATACTTTCTGGGGCCTAAAATTATAAAATGTTAAGTTAATTTTTTAAGCTCTATTGTTCCACTGAAAAACAAAACAAAAAGCCCTGAATGCTTAAATTTGAAATATGCTCAACTCTGACTCACTAGAGGACATAAATGGAATCATTAATGCAGTCAAGCTATTCACTTTTTTTTTTTTGGTACTGGGGATTGAACTCGGGTCCTTGCCTTTGTGCAGCAGGCGGCAAAACACTGAGCCAAATCCCTGGCCCAAGCTATTCACTTTTGTACAGAGCTTGTGATAAAGCTTTACCCACCACAATTATGCCTTTGCCTATGAAAGTCAACTTGTCTGAACTGAACTGAAGGAATTCTAGTTCTGAATTTGCCTCTTAGCTATTTATGAATCTGGACAAACTAAGATCTGCTCTCGCTTTCCCACTGTAAACCAGGACAAGCTGGAAATAATTTCAGGATTAAAGAGCTTCCAGATTATATAATCTACAGCCCTAGCATTTAAAAAATGCAGTAAGAAAATAAAAAATAAAAAAATTTAAAAAATTTAAAAATAAAAAAATAAAAAATGCAGTAAGGGAGGTAGAGTCTTAGGGAATTCTCCTTAATTCATACAATTCATACTGACAAAAGTAGACCTAAAATCCAATCCAATACTTACATCATGTAAGTTTAGGAAAATTATATACAAAGATGACTACTAATCATTATCAATAGTGGCATTATCAATAGTAGTATAATATAAATCTATCGATTATTACTATTATTAGTTCTTATTGTCTAGCCCTTTTAGATTTAGTAAATATGCTATCTATACTGCTGGCCAGGATAACTATAAATCCAAGTGGTTATGTACTAGGTCAAGTTGGCTATATAGAAATTATATCACTAGTACAAGTATTAAAACTTTGGATTCCACAGAAATGTCAAGTGTTGAAAAATCTCATATATTCCACTCTATGTTTGTACAATATAATTTTTCTTTATTTAAAATAACCCTTAAAATTTCTCTTCGTTCCTCAAATAGAATTTGTGTCAAAAATCAATTAAAATATAATACACATTTTTCAAGTCAATGAGTATTATTGAAATAATAAAATAGATAAAATTTCATTCTTTAACCTGCTAAAGCAGCACCATTGCAACACTGTTCTAAAGTACAGATAATTTATTTTTATCTGAATTAGTTACTAGACTTATACTTTGGGTATTCTTTTTTTTTGGTACCAGAGATCGAACTCAGGACCTCGCGTTTGCCAGGCAGGTGCTGTGCCGCTGAGCTAAATCCCCGGCCCCTTGGGTATTCTTTTTAAAAAAAATAAATAAATAAAATTTTTTTTTTGGTACCAGGGATCAAACTCAGGACCTTGCGCCTACAAGGCAGGCGGCAGCACCACTGAGCTAATAAATCCCTGGTCCAAAATACTTTTTACTTTGACATGAAAAACTAGTTTTGAGAATGACTACATTTATTCTTTACTAACAGGAAATCCTATCAAAGCAAATTGACAAGCAATTCTCAGAACTCACAGGGACTATATAATTAAGATTCTATAGAAAAAGAAATCTCATGCTGGGAGTGGTGGCATATGCCTGTAATCCCAGCACTTGGGAGACTAAGCTAGGAGGAACAATCCAAATTGGAAGCTAGACTGGGCTACATAGAGAGTTCAAGACCAGCCTATACTACATAGTGAGACCTTGTCTCAAAAAAACAAAGAAAAAGAAATCTAAGAAAGTCAAATTTTGATAGTTTTGTATAAAGTATTATGACTAAAGGCATCTTATAATTCATGTATTTAAAAGTTCTTAAAATAATTAAAAACACATTAACACAAGGTTAAGCTGCATAGGAAGAAAGCCTAAAATTCTAAACAAGAGATAAAACAAAATTATCCTTTATGTGCCAGAATTATTTAAAACCTCTCAAACTGACTGTTGTTGGCAATGCTTTTTTCATACCCTAAAATAGTTGCTTCTCATTACAACCCTGAGTAATGAAGTTATGATTTCCATTTTAACAGTCTCAGAAAACTGGTAATACCTATGGCTGTATGCTCCGTAATTAGATCCTGTAAAACACAAACCAAAATTCTCTTGAGGGTAAATCATAAGTCAAAGCATAAAGCCAGGAGAGTTGGCACATGACTATAAATCCAACTACATAGGAGGCCAAGGCATGAGAATTTAAAATTTTGAGTCCTACCTGGACAACTTAGGGAAACTGTCTCAAAAGCAAAAAGGGCTGGGAATATGGTTTAGTGGTAGAGTACCTGCCTAAGAGTGAAAGAAAAAAAAATATCTACATTCCAGGACAACTTGTAGACTCAACAGAACAGCAGGTTCAGGTTCATACACTATAGCTAAATACAAAGATTGGAGAGATTCAGTGGAGTTAAACTTTATAGGTCCCAAATATTGATTAGATTTTATCAATAAGTAATGAAAAGCACCTGGGGATATTTTAACAGGACGTGGTACAAATTCCAGCAGGGGGGAGAAAAAAAGAATTTACTAAGCACCAGTTTATGTGGATCAAGGAATTTATTATGTAAAAGGCCAGAAGTATAAGTAGGAAGACATGCTAGGTCTTCATTAATATGGTAACTAAAAAACTGTCAACTGTACCCTGAAAAAAACATAACCTGGAAGGTAAATATACGGTACAGTCTAATAAAAATGTGCTACTGTACTAATGAGACAAAACAACACTGATGATCTAAACATCAGGGAGTATCCAATGTTTAAAAATAGCCTTACCTTAGATCAGGTGATTCGGCCCTCCCATATCGATCCTGCCACTTCCCAACGCTTGAATTGGCTTTTCTGGAGGCAGTACTTGTCTGAGACTGAGAAGAGGTGCTGTTTCTGGTGAGATAAATTTTCTATGTTTTTTCTTACATATTGTTGTCTCTGACCCCCCTTTTTCTGTTTTTTTTTTTTTTTTTTTTTTAATTCTTGACATGCTTTTTCTAAAGTCCTTTAGCATATTTGTACACCATTCTTTTCAAGTCACAAAATACTTGTTGTGGTACTAAAACTCCTAGTGGAATTTAAATATAGATGTGTTATCAATGTTTTAGTTACTCTAGAATACTTTTAGAAAATATTCTGTCAAAACAGTATGATGTCAAAGGCATAAATGAGAAAAGAACCAAGGGCTAGATTCAGGTTAAAATACATTATGACAGAGAAAGAAATTTCTGTGCCTCTATGAATTAATAGCATTAATTTCTGCAGTTTTATAAAATTGTACTCAAAATACTGGTACTTTTTTCCCTGTATTCTTTAACAGATATACACACTGTTAGAGCAACCAGTTAACAGCAACACTGTTGTGTTTCATAAAAGCCTATACTATATACATTCTATTAAAATGTCCATTTCAAATGAACATAACTCTTTCGAAGTAAAATCCCAAAGAAAGTTAATTTTATCCCCAGTGGCATACTCAATAAAAAGTTCAGCTATGCACATTCCTGCTAATTCTTTAAAAGACCATTAAAATGCTCTTTCAAAGTAACTGGAAAATTACATGTTTACATATTAACTTATTTATGTAAAAAAGACACAAAGGAAGAATAAACCAGATATTAAAATAAGAATGAGGGCCAGGTATTTAGCTCAGTGGTTCCATCGTCTGCCTCACAAGTGCAAGGTCCTGAGTTCGGTCTCTGGTACCAAAAAAAAGAAAGAAAGAAATAGAAAATAGAGCGACAAATCTCTGTGTATTTTTGGATGGTCTGGCCATTGGAACAATGTTGTATGTTTTATATATGCAAATAAAAAAAATTATACTGGTAACCATGGAGGAAAAGAAATGCCAAAAGATACTATGAACCAAATTATATCTTAAATAATATTACTACTTTGAAGGAAACTTTCAAACACAATTATTTTGACTATTCACCATCAGTCTAAAAAAAGGAAAAGCAACTGTAAACAGAACTTGAGCTTTACTTTATGGGTTTGTTTTTTTGTAACGTTAAGTGTAAAAGTTCCAAATCTATTTTGAAAATTAATCAAATGAACATTTACACTGAAGTTACTGGGAGCCAGGGTCTCACTTTGAGAAAAGGGAGATGTAATAAGGAACAAAAGAAGGCTCTGGTGTTGAATTGGATATAAAAAGGAACATACTGTGATTTCAACTTTTTAAAAAAGAATATGCCTATGACAATTTCATATTGAAATTGCTAATTTTTTCCTACCTTTGAGGGCTGAAAAGGCCTGGAAATAAATAATGTCACCCCAGTACAATGAACACAGATATTACCCTGATCTTGATTTTTAATTATTATTGCCCACTAAGAGGGGCCATTTCAAAAAATGGCTTCTTCTTGAAAAAAAGTGACATGTCAAAGATCATAGGAACAGTTTGAAGAGGCTTCCCCTGACCAAATTTGGAATAATTTAGCATCAAAATAAATTACGCTTTCTATAAATCTATATATATATCATACATGCTTTACATACATCATACTGTTTTCTGTTTATATAACAGAATGTACTTGTCCTTAAGCCATATTTATAAGGCATACATACAGTTTCACACATAAAATGTGAATAAATCAATCTAAATGTAATAAGTAAGTGGGGAACGTAGGAAACCTCATTTTAAAGTAGAATGCCAACTAATGTTGAGAAATAATCACTAGATAATCACATTTTGCGGTAACTACAGTAACTGATTAAAGTAAAAATCATCAGTGGATGGTAAAATTCTCAGGAAATTTGAAGAGGAATCGAATACTTCTACCCACTTTCACAAAATTACTTGCTAAATATAAGGGGGAAAATAGTAACTTTGCAGTGCAGAAAGAAACCCAAAGGACACAAGTAAGTGATTAAAGTTATCATCACTAGTAAAATAATGGAAAAAACAGGTATGTATCTCCAAGATTAATGCATAGAGGAGGATACACATCACTTAAATATATGGTATTCCTGCCCAAAAAGCAAAACTTAAATCTAACAGTGAGGAAATATCTGGTGAATCCAGTTAGTGACCATCTACAAAAACTGGACTGTATTCTTAAAATTCAATGTCACAAAAAGAACAAAAGGTTGGGAAGTTATTTTATATTTTAAAATAGGAGATAAAAGTTAAATTTAATAACTGATCCTGGATTAAATCCTAAATCAAAGAGAAAAGAAAGTGCAATAAAGGACATTATTAGGGTAACTGGCAAAATGTATGGCTTAAATACTATTAGATAAAGTATCTGATGCATTATTAGATTTTTCTGTCTTTGGTAACCATGTCCTATGATTATCCTAAGATTACATAATGGAATGTACTTGATCATAAAATATACACAGAGAAGTATTTAGTACTCAAGGGGAATAATGGCCATAATTAATATTCAAATGGCTTAGGAAATTTTTTTTTCAGAAATTATAAACCAAATATGACTTGTTAATACCTGATGTATCTAAGTTTTTGTACTTTTCTTACAACTCTTTGTAAATTTGAATTTTTGTCAAAATAAAATAAAAATTAAAAAAAACCACAAAAATGAAGGGGGTTATAACAAAAATGAAGGGACTTCCAGGGGAAACAGTAATGTTCTGTTTAATGATCTACGTAGTGGTTTACATGGGGATGTCCACTGAAAAGTTATCAAGCTGTAAATTCATAATGTTGTTCTTTTGAAGTATGTATGTACTTCCAAAATGTTAAGTATTATGAAATCTTTTAACGATTAAGCAGAACATTCTGATACATTAAATATTAAATATAATAATTTAAGTATGCCAGTTTGCTGGGCAGTCCAGAAAGTCAGAAATTCAGCATTTATACTGATCAAATACAAAAAATTTTTAAAGTTCTATGCAAACATCAAATCTATACAATAATAATACAGTCTAAGATTTTAGCAATGCAAATACAGTTCCTGGGTCAGTAGTACAGTTCACTGCTTTTAAATATCTGCTCTGCAGTCTCATATTTTAATAATAACATTACTGTCTTCTCTTTATTGAAGTCAATAAAATTTACTTTCAAAGATTCTTTCTATCCAGTTTTATAAATATACAAACAGGAAAAAAGTGTTTTAAGGGAAACAGTTCACAATGAATGAAAAGTATCCTTCTGAGCAATTAAAGATGAATCAAAAAAAAACTTTCCTAATGAACAATCAGCAATGTCCTTTATTATGTAGAAGTGGCAGTACTGACATGTTAAATATGTTTCTATAGGTTGCAGAGATATTTTTTTCTTTAGTACTGTGAGCCTGCTAATTTTCCATCCTTCTACCTACATTTTATTGTTCCCTACCAATCTCTAGCTTTCCATTTCTTTTTACCCATCTCTTCCAGTTCCATGGTCCAACATTATAATCACCCCCACAAATACATGCTTGCTTTGTCGTATTTATCTGGTGTACGCCCTCCTCTTATTAAATACAACTCTAGTTACCCTTCACGAATACTTGACAAGAGTGAGAAAAATACACATCAGTAAGTTGCTATGTTTCACTCTAAACCATGGCACTAATCTTAAGAAAAAATGGAAATAGTTTTTCTCCCTGTGCCATCAACTTTTCACTTTACCAACTCACTAGTCAGCAAATAAAAAGGACATAATTTCTTCCATCTTGGAGAAAAAAAACCTTTCTCTTGGCCCCACACTGCCCTCTAGCTACTGTCAAGCAATTCTCCTTTTCTCTAGTTTATTGACATACTCTAAAAAAGACTATTTCAGGCCTTCTCCTCTTTCTCAAACCTTTACCACCCCATTTCCACCATCTTTATTCTCTCCAGATAAGTCTGAATCATATTTTGCTGGGAAAACAGCAGCAATGAGAAGAGAACTTCTACTTGTTTCCATTACCATGATCCTCCTACCTGCCTGCACCTGGCCCTGTATCATCCTGCGTTCTCTGCTGCTATGAATAAAATGTTTGTTGTCCATGCTCCTACATAAGCTTAACCTTACTTCTCACATATCACATCCACTGGTCTTATTAAGGACACTGGTCTATAACTGTCCTTTTCCCTATTATTTCATTAATAATTTCTTGTTCAGTAAATAACCCGAGAAGTATACAAAATACCTCAATTTCTTTCATTTTAAATCATTTCCTGAACCCATGCTTCCCTCTAGATATCAGTTCCCAGTCCCACAGAAAAGAGAAGACTGTCTTTAAAATAAAGTCTGTATTTTTTCACAAGTTTTTTCTTCTCATCCTCCCTTGAACCCAATCCAATGTCTTTATCTGTACTTTGTACATTGAAAATGATCCTAGTCAGGATCACCAATGACCATCACATTTAAAAATACATTAGTTATCCTCTTTATCTTCTTAACCAATCATTAATATTTAATATTAACAGTTGGTCATTCCTTCTTAAAAAACATTGTTTTCAAGATATACACTGGGGTTTTCTTCCTATTTCACTAGTTTTTCCTCCTTATTGGTTTCCTCTTACTGATTTATTTCTGGTCTACAAAGGAGTGTCCTACCACTTCTCTATCAATACTTATCTTTTACAGTCTAACTCCATTCCATAGCTTCTCTTAAATACTTATATAATGATCACCCCAAATTTCTGTTTCTAGCTGATTCTCTTCCTCTCTATTCCAGATCCACATATCCAACTTCCCACTCTAATTTTCCATTTGTACCCTAAATAGTCATTTCAGTTTTATTGTCCTAAAACAAACTCTTGATCTTCTCCCTCCAAAAGCCACTCCTCCTGTTATCTTTTCCATCTCAGTAATGACAATGCCATCATTCAAATTGAGTTGAGGACAAAATCCTTGTATTCACCCTTGATTGTCTTTCTCCATCAGGAGAGGCTACTAGGTTACCATTTGAAATACACAGTAGTACTTACTTACTATTTAACCATCTTCAGCTCTACCACCTTGATCCAAGTCACCATTATCTCTTGCTTACAACTTTCCAACTAGTCCTTGTTTCGACCCTTAAGCACTACATAGGTTACTCTTTGTAAAGTTCCTAAATTGAGATTTCAAAACCCAACCCAAAATAACAATAACAAAAATACAAAAAGCAAAGTACAGAAAAACTGGTGCTGATTTTTAAATAGTTTAATTCTAACAGCAAACATCTAGGGTATCTTCAATCAGCAAATACACAAAACACATTTAAAATACATAACTACAGTGGAAGAGAAGCACTATTACTACATTTTATAGTTCAAAAAATCCTGATTTAACAAGATTAAGGAATTTGCGCAAGGACACACAACTAGTAAATTACAAAGCCAGATTCTGAACCCTAGAAGTCTAATTCCAGTTCCAGGTTCTCAATATCAGAGTACACTGAGGAACAACATAAACTCAATGAATCAAAGTTGACCTTTTTTTAAAAAAAAGGCCAAATACTATATATTAAAAGTATCAATATTCCTCAGCTATCACAAATTCTTCAAACATTTTATAAGACTGCACTAAGTTTAAATAATTAGATAATATATGTCTACGACAATCCCTAAAACTCTTGAACTGCTTTGTGACATTTAATTTTGGCTGAAAGCTCAAAAATCTTTACCTTAGGACTAAACAAAAAACTCCCATAAGGTCTTTTCCTGCATTAGTATATTTTGAAGTATAACCTCTTATAACAATAAAATAATGTAGAAAAATGAAAACAGAAAATTGTATAAATAAAGAAGCAATATAGGAGGTAAATGACATGGCTGAGAACTAGTAACAGCTGGGTTGATTTGTTTCAGCCTCAGATTTAAATCATCTTTATCTAACCCAAGATTAAACTGCTTGACATCATCAAACTTCTCTAATCTTAGCTATCATTTGCCATTTTCCTTGTAATGGAGCTCAAGGGTAACTATTTGTCACGTTTGAGTAAAAAAGGATATTTTGCAGCATATATTCCTCTTAAATCTAGTATGTTGTGGACACAAATTTAAGTGTTATCATTTAAAACCAAACAGAGAAAAGTGGTTTTAATTTAAAAGATTTTCCAGGCTGAAATTTCTACCCCCTTTTACTAGAATCAGCAAAGTATTTGTAAGCCCAATAGCTCTAGATTTACAAACTCCAATAACTCTCTGTAAGAATAATATGCACAGGAAATAGCAAGATCATTGTTAGTACCTCAACTGAAAACAAAGTAACTATTTCTTCATACATACACATAACTATATACTGTACTTCATTTCTTGCTTACCCAGGCTTTTAAAGATGGAATACCATCCTAAACAGTTTTTCACAAAGAATTCATTTCAAATAAAAGTGGAACATTCCAGTTTTTGTTGGTAAAACTGGGAGATTTTATAAAAATATAAAGATACCAACTCTTAGAATAACTGAGTTACAACTGTCTAACCTGCTTGGTGGAAGTCCAGTCTTGAACAAAGATGGAGGAGAAGTAAACTCAGCTTTTGTAGAAGGAAGTGCTGCTTCTTTCTCTGAATTTCCAGTTCTCCCCTGCTGTACCTAAACAAACAAACAAACCAACCATACCAAAAAACTGGGTTATTAGCTTTTTAAATTTAACAGCACACTCAAACACAATGCCCTCTGGATATTAGGTTCATAACATTTTATTTAAAGTTAAACACAAAAACATTTCATGGCTAAATAATTATTAAAAGTAACCTATGTTAGATTAGCATTAGGTAAAAGGCACCAAAGATAGATTATGGGATCAAAATGTCCTAACTATTAAAACAGACACATTTCTGCAGCTGGGCATGGTGGCATGGTGGCATGGCAGCATGGTGTAATCCCAGCTCTTGGGAGGCTAAGGAAGGAGAACTGTAAGTTCAAGATCAGCTTGGACTACACAGCAAGACCCTGTCTCAAAAACTCAAAATAATAATAAAAAAAGTAGTTTATACTTTGTCACTTAGAAGCCCAATACATTCTAAGTCTTTGAGACTTTTATAAATCCCTCCAGATCAAGAGAAGTCTAAGACACCTGGTTATGACTCGATGTTTCAGAGTTCAAGAAGACCACGAAGAATCTTCCCCTTCTGTGTTCACTATCCTCATCTAAGCAAACAATCAGTGACCATTTTAGCCATTCTGTTTTCTATTTAGACTGTGATTTGGTGCAACACCAATGTGAATAATCTGTTCCTATTCATTCATATCATTTCTCCCATATTCCCATCCTATTAACAGTGGCATCACACTGCCAGTTCAGCAGACCTAGAGACATAAAGTCTGTCTGTTCGTCCTTCTTTATATTAACTTTCAAACAAGGTTGTCCAGCAACTCTGTTCCTTTCACATCCTCTCAGTGTGGTCTAGTCATGTTCCTCTAGATTGGTGTTTATGCTCGCCTTTCTATTTTAAAAGCCTCAAATTATTAAATTTTTTTTCAAATTATTAAATTTAAACAAAGCTGCCTTATATTTAAATAAGATCATACTTTATTTTAGGCTTAAATTCTATTGTCCCTGTGTTATTTAAATTCAGTATCATTTGCTCTCCCCTTGAGGAAAAGGCCAAGAGAATCTCAGACACTTTGACGAATCACTGTTGATTCCACAAATCATCTCCCTCACAACTAATCATTACGTGAGGGGAAAATAAATTTTTGTCCATTTAAGCAATGCAGCCTGATTTCTTATTAATTAGAGCCCAGCCCAATCTTTAATTCTTTCATATAATTAGGGTTTAGCATTGAGTTTACTCAAAAATGAGTTTCACTGCTTTTAAAAAATCCATTTAAAATGTACTGATCCAAATGAGAGGATCAGCACTAAGGAAACGGAGATAGACTGAAATGATTTAACAGACAGTCCACAAGTAACACTAAAAAAACCAAATCTGGTGATGGGGAAGTAAACATAATTCAGTCCCCCAAAATTTATTACCTATCTCCTACTTTCCACATTCTGAGGTTATAGCCAGAAATAAACACAGTGAAAAACAGAAATAGGAGACCAATAGCTGGGTGTGGTAGCATATGCTTGTATTCCAGCACAGCACTATGGAAGTTGAGGTAGGAGGATCACTATGAGTTTGAAGCTACCTAGGCTACATACTACACAAATTTCAACACCAGCCTAAACTATACAGTGAAACCTTGACTCAAACAAAAAAGTATGTATAAGAAAAAACATAGTAAGTATAAGGTACATTACTGTTGCAGTTTTAGGCATGCACTAGGGGTATTCCTTGAATATATGTGAGGACTACTATATCATTTAAATTATCAGCCTTGGAGTGGCCTTCCCTCACTATTATCATTCTTTATTATGGTAACATTTTAAAATAGTTTTCATAAGATTTATCACTAGTATTATCTGAATTTACCTCATTTTGTATGATTTCTGTCTGGTGCCACTATAATGGAGGATCACTGAAGACATGAACTATATATAATAAAAATTGGAATCCCAAATACCTAGAAAAAATATCTGGCATATAATAAGTATTCAATAAATATTTGTCATTTGATTAACTGTGGGACTCACCTTAAATGTCACTTCTTTAAAGTCCTTCAAAGGACATGGGGTTTATATAATTTGGCATGATTACTTAATACCTATCTTTCCCATTAAGATAGATAAACTGCAAGACTATGGGGTCTATGTCTAATATGTGTACCTTATCTTCCCACCCAAGTGTAATACATTTCCTGGTATAGTCATGCTCAATTAAAATCTGGGAAGGATGGGGCTGGGGATTTAGCTCAGTGGTTTCACGGCCTGCTGCGCAAGCGCAAGGACCCAAGTTCGATCCTCGATACCAAAAAAAAAAAAAAAAAATCTGGGAAGGAGAAACCTTGGGACAAAGAAGTGGGAGTGAGCTTAAAAGGGAAAGATGGAAGAATAGATACAGTAAGATGGAAGAAATTCTACAGTACGAGGAAAGGAAAAGATAGGAAGATGGCAGATTCTGAAACATATAAAACTTGCTTGTACTTCCTAACTTCTTTTTTATCCTTAGTTTCTTCATAATATACTCTGAACAATTCTGAAAATCCTTACCATTCTAGCAACCTTCCCAGTCAACCTGAAGTTCATTAACTACTTGTTTTTCTTTAGACTTTGCACTCAGGATTACAAGTCTCAAAATTTGGTACATAATATGACTTAATATTTCATATGATCTAACATTTAAAAAAATGACTGTAAGACGCTATAACTAATTTCCTAAAAACAGAAACATGTCATTTGTTTGGATCTTACAAATACAAACAAAACTTAACTAAAATCTGTAACCTTGAAAAATTAAATATTTCACCAAATTATGCTGAAGTTTTGGAATTATTTTTTTGAAATTTCTTTGGCTGCCCATCATAGTATCACTTATAAAAGTGTAAATATGAGCAACATCTAATAAAGAAGAAACTCATTAAGGTGTACTCAAATAAAAGATTTTGCCACTCTTTAAAACTGTACTTATCAAAAGTTTAACAATCTATGAAAACATTTAGCAAATAATGTTAGATTAAAAAAAGGAAAAGCAGAAAGCCATAACTGAATCATTACAACTATGTTTCACTAGTAATAATAAAAAAATTGAGAGAACAACAAAATTCAGAGGACTTTTAAAGCAGATGAAAAAATACTATGTGAATGAGTAAATTAAACAAAGAATCTTAAGTCAGCAATGAAAGCAAAGACATATTCATTATCATGGTGGGACCCTGAAAGTTTCAGGAACTGACAACTCCAGCTCCCAGAACACTTGAATCATCCAGGCATATGCTTTCTAGGTAGGCTAATATAATGTCATTTCTGAAAAGTCATTATTGCCACAAAAAGGAAAAAATAAAAGCAAAAACACTTAAGGATACTAACTTGTAAAAAGCTTGGTCCTACTGCAAAGCCTACAATCAACAAGTTCTATTCACATGCATAGATCTTCCATTCAACTTTTTGGTAGCCCACTCTAACATGAATGAATGGCCAAGGATCAACAAACATTTGAGAAAAGTCTAAATCAAAAGCCAAAAATAGGGCCCGGACTTAGCTCAATGGCTCCACCACTTGCCTCACAAGCTCAAGGTCCCACGTTAGGTCCCCAGAACCAAAAGAAAAAAAAAAAAAAAGGCCAAAAGTAACAAACAAAAAAGTCAACTTGAAGAAAACAGACTGTACAGGAAAGGAAAACCTAACAGAAACAAACAACCTATAATTGACATCCTTTGAGAAATAAGGAGACAGAAAAGATACTGATTATTACAAAAAGATAGGATATTACAGTGAGATAATAAAATCTTTCCTGGATATTAAAAAAAAAGAGCAAAAATGAAAACTGAATAGCAAGGTTAAAAGGCTGAAAAAATTCCCCTAGAGAAAATATAGGACAGTTAGAACACTAATCTAAGAGGGTCAATCTCCAACAGAAAACAGAACAGAAAAAGTAAAACAAGAAAAAAGTATCCCCAAAGTGAAGGACATGTGCTTCCACATTAAAGAAGTAAATAAGTGCTCAGTTTAATGGATGAAAACAGATCAAGAAACATAGTAATTGTGAAATGTAAGAACACAGGTAACAAAACTCATACTACATCCTGCCAGAAGAGGAAAAAATGCATATGTATATACATGTGTACACATATAGATAGAAAAAAGTGTTTTAAGAAAATGTTGTGGCCAATTTTTCTTACAATGCTACCCATTCCTAATAGTCATTTCTTTCTTGCTCCGTATCCCAAATTATGTAATGATACAACTGTTTTTATACCCAATTGACAGACTATTTTTAGCTCTATAAAACTTCATCTCATTTTTCTTTAAAAACAAACAAACAACAACAACAAAAACCTAGCCCAGCATGGGGACTCACGCTTGTAATCCAAGCTATGCTGGGGCAGGAGGATCACAGACTCAAAGGCTAGCCTGGGTAATTAGGAAGACCCTAACTCAAAATAAAAACCAATATAAAGGTCTGGGAATATAGCTCAATGTTACAGTACCTGCTTATCATGTGTAAGGCCCTGGGCTGCAGCCCCAGTACTTCAAAAAAAAACAAAAACAAAACTTACCACCATGCAAGTATTTCACCTTAGGAATGTGAATATGTTAATAACCAATGAAGTTGTATGGTAAAAACCTAGAGGTTCCTTGGTACTAGCATCACTACTTATTACCATGTTTGAAAATTTACATAATGAGAAGCAGAAAAAAGAGGCTGACAGGTTGTCTGTCACTTGACTGTGAATGACATTACCTTTGCAGGAGGTATGAAAAGAAATCACAATTCACCACTGAGTTCAAGCCTTAGTTCATTTCATTCTTTACAGCACCACAAAAGCTCCCTATCTGGCCTGACTCCCTTGGAGTCTTTTGCATTCTACAATCCATCCGGCTGCCACTTCTTATTCTAAAAACCAGATCTATACACTTTCTACTGCTAAAATAGCTCCTACTGGCTACATATATGTTTGCTGGCTAGTCTTTCTCATCATGGCTCTATTTCTTACAAACCCTGATAGACATAACAAAAAGAAGTTTGTCGTCCACATTATTAAATATACACCCTATTCCTAAATCAATATTTCTAACAAACATTATTAACACACTATAAGGGCAAATCAAGTTCTTATTCAGAATCAATTTAATGAGAATCGAACAGTCAATAACCTCTCAGTCAAAGACACTTCAAAATAAATTTTCAATATATATATATAAAATATACATACATATATAAAATATATTCATGATGGCTACCTTCAATGAGAGACCAGCCTAAAGGAATTTCTCTTCACTCTGTTTTAAAAGTCTACTCTAAAACATACAGTACAGTACAAAGGAGTTGACAGCTTATAATGGCAGTTCTCATATCTGAATTAAAAAAAAAAAGTACCACTGCAAATGTTCATTATTAAGACAATTTGTCTATCTACTCATTATAATCAAGAATAAAAAACTATTCAATGCCCAAGTAGAGAATATCACCCAAAGAACCTGATAATCATTTAAAAGACGGCAGATAGCATCAAACATTACAACAGGACAAGAACAAATACCTATAGTAGAATGTAAATTAAAATTAAATTCTCTGTACAGAACTGTGTCTAACAGAACTGTATCTTCAGACACAGCACATGCACTGCATAAGGCATTATTTCGGTAGACAGGGTTGTAGTCCCTCAATGGGCCTAAAGTTCCATATCCAGATCACAAAAGTTCCTTCAGTAAACAACCCAATCTAAAGGCTGCTCCAGTGTTTATCCCAGTGTTATTCAATGTAACAATCAAATATTAAGGGAAAGAAAGCAGAATACCCAACCAAGTTTCAAAAAGCAAGTATGAAGACATTATTCTTTTGACTGTGTCTGTGATCATATCATAGCATGGAGAAGCCAAGTCAGACTTGATATCCAAATGGTAGTACCAGCCTTCATTTCCCTCACATGAACCTGCTCCTTCTAAATATTAATTTGAAAAATCAATGGCTTTATCCCATTTTTTTTGAGTTCTCAGAGATTCTCAGAGAATGTATAAAATTCTAGAAAATCTCTTGAATTACAAGAGAAATTATAGCAATGATTTCAGTGTCATATAGATAACAAACATATCACCATCCTATTTTTTTAAAAGAAAATCAGCAAAAATAAATCTCCAATTGTGCGATAAAGGTTAAAATCTGTTGCCATACTTTTATATCCTACAAGCAAACATGTACTATACATAAAATATAATCTGAACATATAGCAAAGAATAGTTTTACTTGGCATTTGTTAGTATGATAGGCTATAAATACACATGCTTGCAAAAGTGGAGATAAAACAACAATCAGCAAATTTGTAAGTCACCAGGAAGCTGAAGGGTTGGGAAGAAAGGCAGCTATATTCATTTTAAATTTGTCCCTTGAATAGTGGTATGGGAGCAGACTCAAGAACAAAAATGAGAGCAACCAAGGATAATTTACTAAAATTCACCTTAAAAAGATTGAATCTGCCATCTTGCATCTCTGCACCTGGTGTAACTTCCATAGTACAGTCTTCGGCCTAAGTTAAATAACATATTCCCCATTAAGATACCACACAATTTTTACTTGATAGGCCATATAAGACAAACTAGCTATGGCTAGTCTGTGACATGAAACTAAGAAAATAAGATAATCATTAATATGAAACTCTAAAAGGAAAGGGAAAAAACAAACATGATAAAGACAATGAGAATTTTAAACTATAATACAGTATTTAACCATCTTTATAGGGAGAAGTGACTTATTTGGGACATAAAAATAGGACAGTAGAAAAGGCAGGGGAATTCTGGAATGTTTACTAATTACCGTAATTTTATTTGTAGTAGAAGTAACTGGTATAACTTCAAGTCCCATTCGTATCCTCTTTTGTTTCTCACAGTAAGCTTTCCAAGTGTCTTCGTTAAACCCATAATTAAAATAATCAGAAAGATCAGCACCTACAGACAAAACATACTTTTAATGTGCAAATATTTCAACTCTATACAGCATCAAAAATAAGAACCATAAAAATACAATTTTAGGGGCCAGGGATCTGGCTCAGTGGTTTCGCCGCCTGCTGCACAAGTGCAAGGACCCAAGTTCGATCCCCGATACCAAAAAAAAAAAAAAATACAATTTTATAGTTGCATCAATCTCACCATTCCTAATTTTACTACTTCTCAAAATTAACCACCATAAAAGAAAAACACTATAAAACATTTTGATCAAAATATATAACAAACATTATCCAAGTCTACAAAGGAATGTTAGCTCACTAGTAAGATTTAGTTACACAAGTCCTTAGTAGTCATCAATTGCTTAAGGCAAAAAAAGAAAAAAAAGACACTAAAAAAACAATATTCTAAATTGATGGTCAAAATTACTTTTCTGATACACAAATAGTTTCTTTAAATTAATACATCCACAATAATCTTACCAGGTTTACGCCATGGTTTATCTTCAAAAGAATCCAAATCTACCTCCAAGAGTGGAACTCCATTAATGCTTCCAGGTGCATCAAGGTCTACACCTTTGACTTTTGTTCCTAATGTACAGAAATACAAAATGGTAAAGGAGCTACATAAGCAACAACTAGAACATGTAACAGAAACATCAACACGTTTTACTATTTTTGGCACAGTAAATGGCAAGGAATTGAAAAAGGACATGTTTACTGTTTACCATAGGCAAAAGTAGGTTAAGACAAACTTTATTGTGTAACTAGAAGATAAACTGGATGGGAAGATTAGAGACTTATTACTTATAAATAAGGGATTACTGTACCAATAAGAAATTGTTAACTTTTATGTTTGTATCACTGTTTTGTTTTTTTGTTTTTGGTACTGGGGATCGAACTCGGGTCCTTGTACTTGCGAAGCAGGTGGTGGAACCACTGAGCTAAATCTCTGGCCCTATATCACTGTTTTGTACAGCATATAAGTGAAGAAAGACTAACTCTTAAAGGGCTATAAAACAAACAACAGCAATAATAGTAATAAAGAACAAGGAACAATATACTACGTAGCCAGCATAGCTTAAAATATTTACTCTGGCCATTTATATAAAGTTTGTTGATGTCTACGACATATGGTCCAATACCATTCATTAAAAGAGCTATTACAGGGCTGGGGATTTAGCTCAGTGGTTCCGCCACCTGCCTCACAAGTGCAAGGACTTGAGTTCGATCCCTGGTACAAAAAAAAAAAAAAAAACAAAAAAACCCACAAAATAAAAGCTATTACAATCTACTTATGAGCTATTCAAGACATGTGCCTTTTTTTCTCATTGATGTAACTACAAATACAAATTTTACCTGTAGTCCCATAAACTCTTCCCCCTGTCTTGATGTTAAGATTTACAGGTGCTGTACCATAACTCCTAAAACAAATTAATAAAAATGATCTGAGACACATAAAAGTATACAACACAGTAATATATGCAATGTTTTACTCACACTGATTCATTTATAGCAATGGAACTACACCTAGCTACATAGCTATAAATGGATAGACTGACATTCTCACATTTTAGAAAATGTTTTAAACTAATTTTAAAAGTCTGTCACTTGCTCAATTAAAAAAAAATACATTTAAAAAAGTCTGATTCAAAAATCTCCTGGCCACTAACTCAATTATCAAACTTCTCAGGAAATTTGGCTGAGAAAGGATAGTTTACATACCTCTATTTCCTTACCTCCTAATTCTTCAACATACAGCAATACTGTAAGTGATTTCTTTACCTTGTTACAAAATTCAGTGGTTTCATTTTAGTCCTCCACACAGTTTATATTTTTGATAAAACATCTTCCAATTACCCATGGAGTATTTTGTTCACAAAAATGAACTCATTTATATGAAATTAAAAAATAAGTCTGGAGTGAAAGCAGAACAGTATATGCTAGTGGTAGGTGGTCAATCATTGAGCTAAAAAGGGGGAAACTTCTAGGATGCTTGCAATGTTTCATATCTTGATCCAGGTCTTGGTTAAATGAATTTATACACTTGAAAAAATTACTGTGTTACACCCTTTAACATATGACAGAGAAGAAATTATGAAGTTTGACAAATCCATGTTCAAATTCAAGTTTTGTCAACTATTAGCTGTGTAACTTTGGCCAAGTAATTTAAACCCCATAAGTTGTGTGTAAATGTTTGTAGACAGTTTTCTACTTTCTTTCAAGCATCCTTGTATGAGTAGAAAAATCAAACATACTAACTAAAATAAATAAGCTTAGATATTATTGAGGAAGTTGGTGAGAAGAGGACAGAAGGAACGGGGAGAAGAAGATATGATTCACACTGAACAAATATATTATAAAGACCCGAAGTTACAGATAAATGCTCAGTGGTATACTTCTCACAATTTATGCATGTTATTTAATTTGGTTCTTTACTCTCACAAGTCTAGCCACCTGGACTTAGGATGATTCACTGATTTTGGGGTCTAATAATGATTTGTGTTTTCTATCTCCAACTTACTAAATTTATGGGACTTAGGCTTAAATTACATTATCACCATCATTTTTGTTTTACTTTTTTTAAAAAAAGGACAAATGCAATAAAATAAGTGTAGCTCCATTGCTATAAATGCAAAAAAGTATAAAGTAGCCCAAATTAAACTGTTACTATCATCAAGCAGCATTATCATTACCAACCTGCAAAATGATTCATTTAATAAATGCCTATTGAGCAAGAAAAATATGTCCAATATTGGTCTAGACTAGTGATGGTGAACCTTTTAGAGATGAGTACCCAAACTGCACTCCAAAACTCATGTACAGTATTTATCACAAAATGCCAATACCACAATTAAACCTGAATACTGAGGTTTAAGTTTAGAAAAAAAAACCAACTCAGACATTAACATGTTTTGTCTTAAAAGAAAAATAAGTAACACGTGTGCCGTAGGTCTACCACCACAGGTCTAGATGAAGGAGGGAAAATGAGCTAGATAAATATGGTTCCTGTCTTCATGATCCTCATATGTCAACAAACCAAATTCAGCACAGCAAAAGCAGTTTAGAAATATCAATGGATAGTATGATGAACATAAATTCTAGTTTGAAAGTTTATTGTACAAAAATCAAGGACAATCTTGAAACTGTCCTCTTATAGGAGTGCTACAAGAAAAAAAAAATCAATAAACTTTATAAAAGTCTGAGCCATACATGTTTGCTAAATGAGCTTTTCTTCCTATACCCTACCTAGCTAGTTACTTCTTCTGCCATTTAAAACATCACTTTTTTTTAATGCCACCAAGCCTTTATATTCTTTGTGTGCAGAGAAGCTTTACTGTACAGAAAATCGCCCTTAAGCAAATCTGATACACTGTCCAATAGACCATTATCCTCCATAATGTCTCAGGCTCCACTAAGTGCCAGACATACTTGGGTTTTCTAAAAGAACTTTAAAACTAACATTTAAATGTGTTAAATCTATTTTAACTTGTTCCTCTATGTATTCAACTAACTACTCAAGAAATCTTTAAGTTATTTAGTCCTTAAGCTTCTTCTTCATCCATAACCAACCAGCTAATCATGCCACTACTTCTACTTACGACTCACACAAATATACCTTATCCATCCATTCCTATACTACTTCTACTAGATAAGACTGTCACCTCACCTGGGACAACTATAAATCCATTAGCTAATTTCTCACCATCAAATCCATCCCAACTACTGCTACAAATCTTTCCACATAACATAACCTACCTAAAAAACTTTTTAAAGTTCCACCAATGACATAACAAAAACATTCTAACTTCTTAAGTGACTTCAACCATCCCTTTTCATCTACCTCACACTCCAGTTAAAAGTAGGCCCTCCAAATCATCCTTCTACTATGATTATTTATTTAAGCCGCAATCTTTCTCTAAACTCATCAGTTCTTTGCCTGTCTCAAGATTTATCTGAGAAAGTTCAAATGTTACCTCTGGGATATTCAACATTTGTAGGCTTTTACCAACTATCAAAGTTTTTAAGTCACTTTGTATGTACTTCTAGCACTTATGCTGCACTGGAAGTATCTGCCCACTTACCTGTTTCCCTTACTACTTCTGGAAAATAAGGACTATTTTATCATTTTGTTGTATCCCATCATCAACTAATAAATTCAGAAATTAAAAACTGGTGCTTCCATACAACTCTACCTAATTAATTAACCTTATCGTTAAGAAAAGTATTTTCATGATGAAATTTTAATAAAGAGTTCTTTTGTATCATGGTTAAGATGGAAAAATACAAAAACAATGGAATCAGTCACTTATGGTTTGGTATTAGCACACGATCTTTTTACTTTAAATACCAGACAAATTATGTACTTAAAATGTTTACTAAAAACTTTAAGGTGAATTTTATTACAATAAAAAATTGGAAAAAAGTATAAATTAGATGAACCTCAGTCATAACACACTGCCCTATACAAAACAAATTATTCCTACTCTGATCTGCTTTTCCCTCTGCCTTACTGATATATAAAACAAAAGCACGTTTCCTAAAAAAATGCTATTTTTCACTTTCCAACTACTTACAATAACTAGTATTCTTTCAATACATTTTGCTCTGTAAATTAGCCTCTAGCCAGGCATGCTGGGGTATGCCTGAAATCCCAATAGAAGGAGGCTAAGGTAGGAAGATCACTGTGAGTTTGGGGTCAGTCTTCATTACATAGAGAGTTCAGGGCCAGACTGAACTACATAGTGAGGTTTTGTCTCAAAAATATATAAGCCTCGGGCTGGGGATTTAGCTCAGTGGTGCTGCTGCCTGCCTTGTAAGCGAAAGGTCCTGAGTTTGATACCCAGAACCAAAAAAAAAAAAAA